AATTAAAATCAGCTATGAATTTTGTATGCTTATTACAGGTTGTAGCCACCAAACATGACTTTTGGCAGTGTCCTCAGTCAAAAGAAGAACGGTGAGGCTAGAGTTGTTTCTTTGAAAAAAAAAAAAAATTCAAACGAGCTATGAGGGGTGAATGGAGGAACAGCTTTTTGTACTGTGTTTGATATCTTAGTGGAGCTGTGGCATGTCTGTGTCAATAGAAACACTGATTTCCTTTATGCTGCTAGCCATCTTTTGTACAGGAAAGGTACAAGTCTTGCTTGCAGTTTTTTGAGGCTAAGAAAGTACTAATGCCTCGTCTAGAGGATTAGCTTTTGTCTGTAGCATGAAGAAAATACAAGGCCATTGCATGGAAGTTTGCAGATGATAAAAATTGGTGGAATGAAAAAAATGAGCAAGGTAGGTCATTTAAGAAGAGCAGCTGGTATTGCATTATGAACTAGGTGCATTTACGCATGACAAATGAAAGGCTGCATGTTTCGGAAGCAAAAAGATGTAGATCCCACTTACAGAGTGGTGGCTGTGCCTTGAGAAAGAAAGCTTCAGAAAGGATGGGGAAGGGCCAGGGGTTGAGGGGTAATTGGTTGAATACGTACTCCTGGTTTTACGCTGAGGCTGAGTAGCTAGCACAGTCCTTGGCAGTGTAGCAGAGGGAATCCAGAGCAGGGATGGAGAAGCACATTCTGCCATTATGCAGCATTAGTGCGCCTGTTACTGGGCTTCCTTGTCCTGTGCTGGTGTTAATACACTTAGGAAGGGAGAGGTGAGAGAACAGTGGTGTAGAAAACTCATTAAGTCTCCCAGAATAAAAGGTAAGCTCTCAAATTCACCCATTCAGGTGACTTGAGGTGACTTAATCACTCTTAATACACACAGGAAGATTTGTAGTAGGGCAGTTTTAATGAGCTCTAATAGGGGAATTGGACCAACTCATACTGGAAATAATAATGTGCCACATTTTCTAATGGGATGGTAATTAGCTCCTGGGACATAGCAGACCTGATAGATTTTCCATCACTTCCAAGACCTTAAATTTGATTGTGCACTTCTCCATACAATTAGTTTTGACTGCAGCTTATTTAAAGTGACTTGGGAATTGTTGGGTGAGGGTGTCTGCTCTCGCTAGATGAGTGGTTTTTTTTAAACTTACTTGTAGTTCACGTACAGTCCTGGTCTGCAGAAAGTTCCAAGGTTCAATTTTACTGAAAGTACAAACTGCCTTTAAAATTGCAGATGACTGTCCTTTCCATAGATAGGCTTGTGTTTGGTGGGAGTGACTTCTCTCACATCTCAACAGTGCAAGAGGGAGCTCCAGGAAGATCAAAATCCTGTTTAATTTTGCAAGAGGGAATGTGCCTACAGTTTTCTTGCCCCCCACCCCCCGCCTTCATTTTACTTGTACTCTCTGCACATCTGCTTCAGTCCTGCCTGCTGTGCTGAAGAGATGCCATCCACAAGAAAACCCCCCATCAATTCACTAGGCACAGAAGAAGTTCTGGTAGGATCCAGAAGCAGTCTGAACCTGACCTTGGCTGAACTGGTCATCTAAAGATACCAAAGCATCCATTATTGTGGCAGGTTTAGTTGCATCTGTTCCATCTCACAGAAAAATATCTGTGAAGGGAATTATTTTATTAGCTGTAATTTTAGCTAACCACTTTACTCCGTGTCAGAGTAATCTCTCTTACTTTTATGAGTGACTATAGTAGCATAAATCTTTTAATATTGTGGTTTCTGGACTAACTTGCTGGTGGTTCATCACAGCAAGGTTTTTGTTTGGGTGTTATAAAACCAGTGTTTTTTCGGTCAGTTTGTTTTGGAGGAAATTGTTTGTTGTAAAGTCCCCAACACAGGGAAATGCATTAGTTCTCAAAGCTGTGTAAGGTAGCTTCCCCAGCCTGCCCAGAATCACACAAGACAGTGGGCAATTTAAAAAAAAAAAAAAAAAAGAGGGTCACCTTTTCCTTTTGAACATTTTGAATGAGTGGGTTCAAAGAAAGGGTCTCAAAGAGAGTCTTGCTTTTCTTTTTAATTCAGTCCTGTTCAGTGTTATGTTCAGTTCACATTTTAATCATGTTTGAAGACTGAAGCAATCATGCAGGAGAGGAGGAAATCATCCATTCACCGTCATGGGTGTAGTGATATATGTTGTAGTTTCTAAGTTACCTGCATCTCTGACTTCCCTGTGGTCCCAGCTGCAACCTAAGGAGGATGTCTCCCTTGCTGGATAGTCCTGCTGTTCTCTCCCCACTGTGCAATCCCAGGCTGAGCCTGTCTGCAGTTCTCAGAAGACGCAGCTCTACAATTGCAATGGAGTATGGCATGGAAATGCCAAAGCTATGAATGACCTGAGATGGTATTATCTGCTCTGTGCTTGTGCATGTGCAGATTATAGCTCTGGAAGGGAGAAACAGCACAGTCTTTGTATTGCAACAAGGCTCTAAGTTGCAGAAAGATATCTTGCAGAGCTGACACGCTTGCACTGCATCTGGATACAGAGCATGTGAGGTCTCTGCCCTCCCTCCAGCATCTCTGCCCTCTGCTCCCAGCGTGCATTGTGGACATGTGCCCTGACTACCTTGAGAGGTCTGATTTTGTCATAGAAATCACAAGTTAAAGCAACAGTATTGCTCATGACCTGTCAGGACTCATAAACCAAATCATTATCTCTTCAGAACAAAAACATTTAGGAGTAACCCTCCGTTCTTTTAAGCATCCATAGCTTAACAGTTAGTCCCCTGCCTTTCACCAGGGCTCTTCAAAGGCCAACACCACAGAGCACTGCGCACAGCCGGCTCTGCCTGGTTGTGAGTTCATTCCTGTTAATAGAGATTGACTGGCCTCAAACCAGTAGGTGTTATCGACAGAGGCCTATGAATCTAGTCAAAATATTCCACACTTTTTCTTATGAGGTGAGGATGTGAAACTTCAAAAGACTTGTTATCTTCCCTAGTTTGTTATAGAGGAGTTACATTAACTGGTTCTCACTGTCTTAAGTCTGTAAAGGAAGTGGATTTTTATCTTGCTTTTCTAGCTCTGTAGACAAAAAGTCCTTGGCTATACATACAGCTGTCAGAAAGTTCATACAATACTTTTTGAGTTTTCCACAATTCTGGGGCATCTGTCACACTGTCACACAGTAAATACTGATTTACTATATTGTACTATAGAGACCTTCTGCCAATCCATTCAATACTGGCTATTTAGGGTTCAATTTTTATTATGCTAGCAAGCTTTTGAAGAATAGGGTGATGTAGACTACAAAGAAATTTTTCCTGCCCCTTCAGCCAGGGAAGGAACTGTTTAAGTAAAAGCAAAGATGGGTGCCCGTAGATAGCAAGGAAAAAGTCAGACAAATGACAGAAATTGCAAGTCTTGTTCAGTTAATTGAGAAATAACAATTCAATCCTGCTGTAAAAGTCTAGTGGTTTTGGGGTGGGGGGCTGGGGGGTGTATTTTGTTTTTTGACTCCGTGATTTGGTTTGCCAGTCCTGGCTCCTTGCTACCTCAGCAGCCACAAAACACAACCACAAATCCCACTGACACTATGGCTGTAGAAAAAACTACAGTGTGTTTTCTCATCTGGGAACATGACTGCTGTGTCATGCTGTTTTCTCAGAATGACTTTTGCAAATGTTTCTGGTGCTGCGTACCTTTATCATACACTTCCTCCCTTCCTCTTCATTCAGGAAAAAGTTCAGTGAAGGGAACTCTGTAGGATTTTTTTACATCTCTCTCAGTGCAGTGCAAAGGGGTACAAAAGCATCTTCTACCTCTCAATGAAGCTGCAAAAATGAACACAGCTGTCTTGTCTTCTTACAGCATTTTTTTAAGTCAAGAAGTTTTTTGGGATCATGCCCGCCTGTCCCGTGAACAACTTCTGAGATGGACCAACACGTTCAGGCAGATTGGCAGGAGGGTGTTGATCTCAGAGGTGTTATAATCCTACAAGCTTCAGGAAGAAGGCAAGGAGGAGGGGAGAGAAAGCCCTTATTAGTGTCTCCACAAGAAAAAAACCTGTGGTACAGATTGTGTTTAGACACCAGAGAGTCACATAGGAGAAAAACAGTATAATGCCCTAATGGCAAGAGATTATATAAGCAGCTATGCTGTCCTATTAAATATCAGCAAATCCAACCACAAAATACAGCTCATAGTAAAATAGGTTTGATTAGCTTTGCTGCCCATGGAACTGCTTGTTTATATTGAGACAATTGCAGTAATTTCCTTTAATGGAGGTTCTGAAAATGAAAAAAAGCATTTCTGTTCATTTTGGACTACAGGACACATCTGATGTTTTGATTTTTCATCTCACATACTCAGAGGATGTGGAGGTGCTCCTCTGTTCCTCTGCTCTGATGGGACCATCCAATTTTCCATTCTGGGTTCCTCATTAACAGGGACTTGCCACCTTGACAGACTGGTGAGCTCAATAGGACAGCAGAGAACTGTGAAGCAACACCCATACCATGTACTAAAATCTTTGCCTGCAAGGAGTCTGACTGACCAGATATTTTATATTTAGTATTTAATATTAATATGAATATTTACTTTTAAAATATTGTACATCCATTTACATAAAGCGGTAGTGCAACTGTGGAACGGCACACCTGAGAGAAGAAGGAACTTTGTATGGTTTAAAACTTGGGCAGCACAGACCCTCCCAAAGACTCCCAGGGAATGACATAAGAAGGAGGGAGGGGGAGAGCACAGAAGGGGGGAGACTGGGATAATAGCATAACCTTGCGCCCTCCCTTTCTGCTGGTCCTACTGGCAGGTTGTCTCCAGGCTTCAAGCAGAGATCAGGAGACCCAGCGAGAGTGTTTATGCGGAAGCCCCTGCTATGTGTCCTCAGTGACGATCCAGCAACCATAAACTGAGGTCTGGTTCCAAAAGGAGCCCCTTGGATTTGTTTCTTGTGATTGAACTGCAATTGCAGCGGTTAAGACTTTCCCATGGTTGGAGCACTAGGAATGTCTCACCTTCCCATGTGCCTTCCTTGGTGTCCATTAACATGTGAGATTGCTGGACCTCCTTTCCCTCAGTCATCGCACTCTCAGTGGTCTTCTTCCCTTACCCAGCGGACTGTTTTGTTTTGTTTATCAGCATCTCTGTCAAATTTGGTTAAATTGTCCAAGGCATTGAAAAGATATGTGGAGGGCAGACAGATACACAGAGGAAGCCTGACACAAAATGTAAACTAGATGGCTCTTGAAACTGGCAATGGGTAGTGCAAACTTCCTGTGCATCAACAGTTAAAAAATAAAACAAAGAACAAAGATAGGGAAATAACCATAAAACATTTCTTCAGAAGAGTGCCGTTTAGTGGGAGGCAGTACTTTCAGCAGACAGCGGTTGAGACCAGTATATTTTTGTGCCCAATTTTTCTTCTTGCTGTTATCTCTCTGGGACAGCACCGTACTCCTCTTTCAGCTCGTAGCATTGACATAATGGAGCTCCTCCCAGAGGTGCTGCTCTCTAGAGTGGGTTGTGTGGTATCGTGCAGTGTTTGCCTTCCTTGTTTTTAACCAACTTCATTATATCTCTGCTCTGGACTTTTTCTGCATCTGTTTCAAATTGCCACAAGGATAAATCAAAGGTATTTGAATAATGGGTGTTTGGTGTGCCTTCTCGCAGGAAGTGATGGCTGCTTTCAGTATCTGAAGGGGGACATTAAAAAAGCTCAAGCCACTGGAAGGACAATAGGCTTGGATTCCAATTTATTATCCAAATAATGCCGTTTAGTGCTAGATGGGAAACAATTTGGAAGTGTTAGCTCAAATGTCCAAACTACCAAAAGTTCCTCCACAGCCTGGCACCCTCGTAGACAATTTCTTCATTCAGTCTCTCTGCTTAGGAATAGAAGCACTTCCCAGGGTTATCGCCATTAACCAGAGGTGTGGAGGCTGTTCATATTGTACCTGTTGAGTAAGAACGGACTGTCAGCTTCCTTAAATTATCACAAAAGCCACTTCTTTTTTAATGGAAAGAAAATAGTTCAGTGAACTTTTTAGTTTGATTACTCACAAAACCAGTGGCATGTTTGGTATCTATAGACAATTTCTGGTGACAATCCAGCAAATCAGAATCTTGTTAGAAGAACGTTATGAATAATAGCATCCCCTTATTAGCATAACTTTGAGGAAGAAAAATGTGAATACTTTTTCTCTAAGAGTTGGCTCAGGAAATAGTATTTTCTGATTGTGCATCTGAGGAAAACAAGCTTAGATATTACCTAAACAATTCTGTTTACAGATTATAGTTGTGCTGGAAATATGCTTACTTTATTATCTGTAGTTCTTTTCTACCAGCCTAATGTACTGTAAACTGTTGCTCCAATGACTGTCAGCAGTTCTGTTGCAAATGTAATTCTGGATTTGTGGGAGTTCTCACTAAAAGTTTATTTGCAATTTAATACCAAAGGGTCAACTTGAAACATTTAGTATTAAAAATCCCCTTTGTTTCTTAACGTCATACAGGAATAAAAGCCAGTATTTATTTTCCTCCAACTTAATTTTGATATAGGAATACTACTTCAGAATGCCTCCTCTTCATGGTGCTTTTTTCTGCTAGTTGTCTTTGGCGTTTCTGGACATGAGTGCTGTGCTTTGGGCTGGGTGTGCTGAATGATTCCTTAAGGCTAGTAAGTTCCATTACTTCACACACACATTCCTAATCACCTTGAAATGATAATAAATAACAGCTCATAAATTAATTGTTTGCATCTGCTTACTAATATTAGAGTCAGTTTGGAAGAAGCCACCTGTGGGATATTTTTTATTCTTTTTTTGTACGTGACAAATATGGATAGATCATCCAAGATGCTTCAAAGAACTGGTCAGGGAATTGCTTATTTTCCGTATGAAAAGATTGTGATAAATGAAAATGCTTGATTTTTATGAAAATCAAACAACCCTAAAAGGTCACAAGTCCCGAAACTGTGTAGGGATTTTCTTTAAGGGGAAAAACAGATCTTTTAATTAAAAGGTTTGTATTTTTACCTTTTACCAATGCGGTTTCTTTAATTTTTTTTGTTTGTTTTTATAGTGGGTTCAAGCAACTTCAGTTTCTGATTTCCTTTATATGAAAAAACTGTATCCACATATCTTGAAGTTTGTTTATTGAGGTATGTTTTATAAGATTATAGCACTGAAGCATTTTTTTAACATTTTAACATTAACTGAAGCTTTTTTTTTAACATTTTTTAAAAAACTGAAGGCAATTTGACCAAGTCATGCAAGTAAAATACCCTGTCCTTTGTCAGAGACTAAATGTGGATCATTTTAGATCAGGAGGAAAATGTTTTGGAAATGTATAAATGTCAGTATTTCTAAGACAGCTAAAACAGATACTGTCTGGTTTGCTGACTGAAAATTTCCAAAACAGTACAATAAATTGGAAGATTTAGTTATGCTATGTGGCATCTCTGTGAGAGTATTTTATTCCTACACTGTGAAAAAAACCTCAAGGTTTAAAAAAAAGCAAGAATATGATGTGTTTTATGGGAACTCCCCCAAAAAGTTATATGCCAAAAAATATGCAAATATATCTAAAAGGCCTGGGGACATATGATGGAAAATGCAAGATGTTAAGATGTTTCTCTGCCTTTGACTATAAAAGTTGAATTGCTTGGTCAAAGTGAAGGCATAGAGGGAGAGTTCAGCAAACTGTAAAATGGGATTAATATACTCAGTATGTTAACGAAGTATGGAGGCTACTTGGAAGGATGGCTGTCAAGCACACAGGAATAAGTGAAAACTATTGAAGTGATAGTTTTCACTTCATTTCACACCATAAAAGGCTTATGCTTTCCTCTTGGTAAAGGGAGATACCCTTCTAATAAAGGTGAAACAGGTTCAGTGTGGTGGGGAATGCATTAGGCCAGGTACACACTAAACTTGCATTTCTCAAACTGTGGGGTTCATGGAAAGGCAATCTTGAACGGTTGAATCTACTTTTTAAAAACAATTTTTCACTACTAGTAAATATTTCTGGAAAGCATGCATTTACTTGCTTTTGCTGCCAGCAGCTGCGCATGCTCCAGAGCAGGGGAGTCAGTGTTTAGACTTGTAGCCAGTATTTGCAGATGCTTTTCACTCCCTCAGTCTGGTTGGGGCTTAACAGCTGCTCCCAGAGGAGAAGTGCTGATCAACATGGCAGTAGCATCAAAGGGGGGGATTTATTGCTGACAGCCGTGAAGGCATGGTTTGCGTGGTCTCAGATGAAATTTGTTTGAAAGAAGGGAAGGATAATCACATGAAAATGGATAGGCCTAAACAGAGAGGCATGTCTGCAAAAAATTTGAGATACGTTGGCTTTACTGTAACTAAATCTAGGAGTACTGGTTCCTAGAGTCCTATCATGAGACATGGTTTCCTCCATCTTTGTCCTACTCTGCAGGGCTACTCTAAAGGAAAAACTTAAAAAATAAACAGGGTGTAATACATAAATGTAACGAGTTTGTTTAGCCCTTTCAGAATGGGGCTCAGTACAGGGTGTGATACGCTGGAAGGAACGGGACAGTGGTTTTTTGGTGTCTTTTATCCTAGCCTAAGTGAGGTGGACACATCAGAACCGTTTGACCTCTGAAGTCTTTCATTCTTTCAAGTCTGTTGATACTAATGAGGCTCCCAGGCAGAATGATCTCCCCTTTTCTGTCATATCTCCACTTTCTTTATCCATTCCTGGCTCCCTACCTCTTTGTTCTCCGCACCAAAAGCTCATTTACTTGTTTTCTTGCTGACTGTAGCTGCTGGGGTTCACTTCCTTTCTGTGCATTTTCTTCAAAAGCCTTGAAATGTCACATAGCGATATGTCCTGCTGAGATGCTCTTGTCTTATTGATGTACCAATGGGTGTTTTTTAATGAGAAAACATGAAAGTACCATGAGCCTTCCTCTGCGCATCCCCAGACTGATCATGAGAAATTGATGAATTGTGTGAAGTCCACAAAGACTTGGGAATTCATTTTAAGTGTTCGGGCAAATATGCACAAATAAGAGTGTGTTCTTTAGGAAATGGTTTGAAATTGGTTTTTCCAAATAGCATACTTTGACTAGGGCTCAGGGCTCTGAGGTTGAACACAACCTGACACAATATCCCCAGAATAATATGACTAATGAATTCCCCGTACGTCATAAAGGCAACTTATGTCATGGACTTTGGAACAGAAGCTTGCATTAATTGTTCTCACTGACTTTCATCTCTGGAGTTAACAATTTGGGTCTCATATATATTCTCCAGTAAGAGCCATCAGATGCTCATGAGGTGGGTGCCTACTCTCCACTGCTGATCTCTTGAGGAAGTGATGCGGCAGCCCCAGCAATGGGGACCAGGTTCCTCATCTCAAGGCTGGGCTTGTAACTCGGACATGTGTGATATTGTTCCTTGTTTATAGGCTGAGGCAGCAGTCATCCCAACAGTGCTTTTGAAAATCTGGTAGGTGTTTGCTTGTGAATTTGGGAGCCTCACTTTCAACTCTCCGATGTCAAACTCTTGGTCTAAGTTAATGTTTGCTTTGGCTCCACTTTTTGTTCCACGGTGTTCATTGTGTAAGAGAGAGGAGAAGGCAGGAGAGCAAAAAACAAGCACCAGCAGGGTAGGCAGCTGTCTAATTGAGAGGACTAGATTTTTCTCTGCACTGTATTTTAAACGGATCTGGAGAGACCTGTCTGTCTGTCTATCTGCAGTTACACTGTGTGAGGCAGGCCCATTGCAGCTTGCTGAAGGAATGGTTTGCTGGTTTCCTTAGTGAAGACCTTATTCTCTTGGTTCTTTCTACCCACCACGCTTGGTCTGTGCGTGACTTTTAATGAAGGGATGTGGTTGATACCAGTAGGAATCACAGGATTTCTAGAGCCAGGGCAAAATACCCAGGACCACAGATTTCAACAGCCTTAGCTTTGGGTTAGCAACAGGATCATTGCTATGACAAGGGGTTTTTGTTTGCTTTCCGAGTGTCTTTGAAAGTATATCAAGCTGGAGAGGCGATATCACTAATTATTTGTGTCTACATTACTTTCAGTAGAAACTGAGGCACAGATTCTGGAC